GTTTTAGCCGTCGGAACTTGTTCATGTTGGTTGTCCAGGATCAGCAGTGTATCTCTTTATTTTAGAAGGCCTGTGGGGGAGCTAGCATAGAACTGGGAAAAAGAATCCAGGTGAGGAACCTGGAGTATGTAGGAGAACAGAAGATAAGAATGCAGCTGCTTTCCAGCTTTCTGCCCTTTTCTTCTAGCTTTTCGTGTGCAAGAGTCCTACAAAACTTACTGCCCGAAAAAATTATCCTACTTATCTCACAGTTCATGTCATAAATCTTGCTGATACTGAGCTTTTTATTTTGCTAGCTTTGTCTCTGAGCCTTCTGGTTTTCTACTGCCTGGATTTAAGATGGCTTGCTTATTTGTTTTATTTTGCCCAGCAGCTGGAAGACTTTTTTTTGGAACTTAATGCCACTTTACTGACATTTTGTCGTACGGAATTTCGTATGCATTGTCTTTGTAAAAAAAAAAAAAAAAAGGAAATGCAGCTCATCTGTACATGCATTGATACATTGTAACTGTTCCTAGTGTAACTTGCGTAATGTTTGTGTAACGCTTGCTCATGCTGGTGGAAGTCAGTTTCCATGCACAAAGGGGAGAGCCAGTGTTTGGCATTTAGGCCCTTCACTGAGTGAGGAATTTGGGCACCCCCTTTACAGGAAAATCGTCTCTTAGATGGGATGCTTTGGCCCATGGACGTCTCTGTCCTTTTCTATTATTCTCTTGAGGGAGAGCTTATGGTGTTGACTTTGTTGCCGCTCCAAGTTTAGACATTTTGGTTAGACCCTTAATTTGTTTGAAATGAATGGGGGAAGTATTACCTGCACAGATACTCTGAGTTGCTTCCTTCCCACGTCAGTTCTGAACTTAAAACGTGGTGTGTGGAGATGGCTTTGTATAGGAGGGCACACATTTGGAAGAATGTGAACTGGTAATACAGAGGGTGGTAGTGTGGTTACCTGTCACAGCTGCATGAGAAATGGACTTGCAGAAAACTTGGCTCTGAAATATGCTTTTGCTGTCTAACACAGCATTTCCAAGTATAATTCCTTCTGGCAATGCCAGTGATTATTTGCATCAGCAGTAGCGGAACTGATCACAAAGTAAAATTACTAGGCTATTTAGGTCGGGTCAACCTAGCAAATTTTGTTTCATGGCTTGGAAAATATCTTTGTCAAATTATGTTATATAAATATTTAAAAAATGGTAAGATGGCAAAATCAAATGTGTTAAAGTTAATGGATCAAAAAATTAATCAGCCCTTTTGTCTATATGGATTTTGATTAGGCTTTCCATGATGCAGAAGGTGTGTTTCTTACATAGGTTGCCTGTCTCATTCTGTACCGTAGATGGATGTCACTAAGTGATTTTTTTTAAAGCTACTTTTCTTCTAATCCATGTAATTCAGTATGTGGTTCCATGTATTATTTATTGCCCAGCATTCAAATCCTATACTGAGCACAGAAGTAACAGGAATATTTATTATTACTGTTTAATATTAATAAAGAGTTGAATGAAATGTGAAATATATGCCCTGTAGGAAGTGACCACATCATAACACCCATTTCTGTCAAATTCAGTCAAGACAGTGAATTCCCTTTGAATCAGGAAAAATTCAAAAGAATTAGAAAATACATAAATGAAATACAATGTTTTGTGAAGATTTCCGACTCTTTCCAGTCATAATTTATAATAACTTTTAATGCAGGTAGCACATTTTTTGCACGTCTTGTAAAATGTCTGTCGTGATTCTTTTGCTCCACCACTCAAATGAGGCACAAGTTAAGGCTCTGTACACTGTGTGGCCTCGTTGTCCTCCCAAGAGGATAGTTAATACTTTGTGGAACCCCAAAATGATGCCCGTAGAGAAAGGCATGTTAATACTGCTGTTGACCTGATTGGAAGTGAAATATTTTGCATCAGTTTAAAAATCCTGTCAGTGCAGGGTCTTAGATTTTTACTATTCCCCTGCAAATCCCATTGTAGAGAATGGAAATGAGATGCAAAGGTTAACACCAGTTTACCGAGTTGAAGGTATTTAAGATTTTACATCACCATATATGCTGAGCACAAAGCTTCTGTTAAAGGTAGTTACAGCTGTGAATATTCAGAGCAACTCAGACCTGAATGGCTCAAGTTGGGTGCTTAGAAGAAAAGGACCATGCAATTAACGATCAGCTGGAAATGTAATTTGCATGGTTTGCCTGATGCAGGAATCATATACATAGAGTTGTTACACGAGCAGTATGGGAAGCTTTATACGGGAACTCAGCAGCAGATGGAGGGATGGAGTACAATGCAGCATTGAGCTGTTTTAATCTCATTTCTGTACGGGCAGACTTGGGTCAGACCCAGCAGAAGATTTATGCATGTACCAATTAAGCCCATCAGCGCTGACTTCTGAGGTGCACAGGTCCTTTATAAAGCCTGTGAAGAGCTATGCACTTCGAGAGTTGATGGTAAGGCAAGCAGGGTGGTGAGGAGCTGCCTGATTTTAAGCCCACCGCAGCCATCTGCCCTGGATCCAGCACCTGAAGTACCCCCCTGAGATACTGTGCATATGTCAGCTGGTTGGAGAACTGGTCACCAAGAGCCAAAGCGCTTTGGGAAAGGTGGCAGTAACCCTTTATCTAATAACCTGATGAAAGCCGCCTCTCCTTAGTCACTGGGACAGACAGTGTAGAGTTGGTGCTCTTGTGGGATGTTCTCACCCAGGATTGCACTGTTCATGCGTTTCACATTCCACCTATGGCTGAGTTACCGTGAGGCCCATGCTCGGTAGGTAAAATGGCATCCAAAGATGTTCACATTTTACAAATGGTGTCAGAAAACAGATTCATAATGGAAAGTGTAGCGCGATGTTAGCTGTTGGTTACCCTGTGAGCATCCTTGGGCAGAGGGGAATGAGGATGGAGGAGGTGGCAGCAGACTGCGCTTCACCGTGCGTTCAGTTCCGCCTGAACGCTGTGAAGAGGCCTGATTGCCGATGGTCTGAAGGAGGGCGAGATTTAAGGTCTGGAGGAGAGAACTGCATGTCTGAGGTGTTCTGCTGTTTTGGCTGATGGCATGGTGGTGGGGTTTGTGTTGGTGCTTCTGTAACTCCCTTCCGTCTCCAATTGCCTCAGCTGAAGTTCTACCAGCAAGTGCTTCTGGCATGGGACACCTGTATGCGTTGTAATACAATTTTGAAGAAAGCTGTTTGTGAGCTTAGTTTTCCAGAGCATAAAAAGTTCTGTTTGTGATTTCTTGTTTGGAAGAGTTGTAGGATACAAGCTGAAATTATGTAAAGTACAGCTGTATAAACAAACTAAGATACTTTTAAAGCAATATAGCTTTAAATATAAATATACCTACACCCGTGTAGTGAAAGAAGGTGCAAAATGTATAAACATTAATGAAAAAGTATTTATGTATGATGCCGGATTCATAGGGATACTGTATTAGCTGCGCTGTTATAGATAATCTGTTAAAGACGTTAATACTTGCACAGATGATGTAGTTTAAAGGAACTTTTAAAGCCTGTAAAGCGATTCTAGCTGTATTCTAGCTATATATTTTTTTCTTTGCTTACGCTGTGTGGAAAAGCATTTGTATCAAGTGATAAAAAGCGCAATGAACCAAATAGAGAAACTGTAACAGTAACAACTTGTTCCCTCTGAGGGTGACGGAGCCCTGGCAGAGGCTGCCCAGGGGGCTGTGGCGTCTCCTCCCTGGGGACAGCCGGCCCTGGGCGGCCGTGGTTGGGCGGGGGTCGGTG